CTCCCTCCTCCAACTGAAAACAGCAGTGTTAAGGTAGGTAGCATCATATAGTCAGTGCTAAATCACATTTAAGTTCTGCCTTAGCGTATTCATCCAAATGATGGCAGACAGCAGTCTGGACCATGCACAGTCTGGACCAGTGCATTTCTTGTCACTGGAATACATGTATCATCAAAGCATTTTGCACCCCATTCTTTTACTACCTCCTCAGAAGGAGTTAACTGTGGATAAAGCAACTGTAGATGGAAGGGACAGCACTGCATTATTGTAGAGCAATTGCCAATGTAAAAAGAAGTGACTCAGGGCTGAGGCAGGACCCCTGCATGTTCCCGTGAGTATGTATATTTGCATGGACTTTGCCAAGTCTGTTCAAGGTGATACACATAGGACACTTTTATGTAGAAGCAGAATTCCTTCTGCAGTTCTCAGACTTAGAGCCATGAAATTCAGAATGCCTGTACCCATCTGCACAATATTATGTAAGTTAGTATGTGTCTGCGATATAAATGGCACACCCATAGCTATGGTGCACTGATCCATTACAAGCTGAAAGCAAGAGTAGAAGTAATCAGAAGGCCACTGCACTGGCCCAAGAAAAAGATGGCAGTGGCTCATACTGGGTTATAGCCAAGGAAGTGTCAAGAAGTAGCCAAAATAGGGATCTGTGTTGAAGTTAAGTCAACAGGATTGCCTGGGGTCTAGGAGGTGATGAGAAAGGGAATAAAAGAAACTGAGGAGAACAACTGGGAGTTTGGGCCAAGAAAAGAGGTGAGCAGAATGCATTTGTAGAAAATCCTTCACAAGTCCTGCTATGAGCAAGGAATGGCATAAGTTGTCCATGTAAGTAGGCAGCTAAGCAATCTCCGGGTCATCAGTGCCTTCTCCTTAAGAAAGCTACTGCTCACTGGGGAGCTCAAAGTCTCTATCCAGGAAGGCTTGGAAAAATTAGTAATCCTTGATAATTAGATAATTGTCTTTGCCTCAGAAGGCTTTTTCCTGTTCCTATTTGTCCCAAGGTAAAAAAAAAAAAAATGATTTCAGCTTGTTCCTACCTGTTTCTCCAGGTTTCTTATCTATAGCATCCTGATATCTCTCCCTCTTTCAGTTTCTCACCATTTCAGAATACCAAAGTCCTCCTCTGTAGGGAATGTACCTTCATTCAAGGACAAGGATGTTCCATGGACCAGTTCCAAGCAGCCCAGAACTCCATGACTTCACCAAATCCCTCTCCTTCATAAAAGAAAAAAAAAAGGTACTTGGGGCAAGAAGCAGAGCCAAGTAAGCTGAGAAAATGAGCCAAGTGCTGAGAAATTAAAGAAAGTAATGCTGACGAAGGCGGAAAAAGAATTAATCAGGATCTCTTAAGGTCATCATGATCTCTATGATTGCATTAGCATGTAGTAGAAGAAGTCTACAGATTGATTAATACTTCCGCAGAAGAGAACAAATAGAAGCTGGCAGTGTGGTTATCGAGAGCTGCATCTTCTTTAGAGAGAACCTATGCTGGCAGGTGACAGGCACTCCTTACTCGTGGGCCAGACACATTTCCTGCAATTCACTACTTCGTGAGATAGAGATCATGTGGGCAAGGCCCTTAGCACCTTTAACAAATTTAAATCTGCCTTCTGTGCATGGTACACCTGAGTCATTTTAGATCATGAATTTCATCACCTCCAGATGTCTTGGGACAAGCTTTAGAGGAGATATCGCTTCTGGCAATCCACACAAGCCTGTTTGGAGCCTGTCCTTGCCCCATGTGCCCTGGCTGTGACTCACACTTCCTGTTACTCCTTCCACTTTCCTATTCTCCTGCCTGTATTGCCAGAGGAGGAAAGCAATTATCCTTTCCAATGATGCCTTACAGACTTTTCCTCTATATGTCAAAGATGCCATGCTTTGGTAGCCTTGTCTCTTCTCTGCTAGCCAGAGAGAGAAACAGAGATATATAGAGACAGAGAGACAGATACTGAAACAGAGAGACAGAGATATACTCAGAGACACACATAGACAGGACTGTCCAGACAGGACTGTCTCTTGCAGACAAACACAGGAAAAGAAATACCAATTAAAATGAAATTCCAGTGTCTTCAGTTCCACCTACGTACCAGTGAATAGTGTAAGTGCTTTATATTGGTGCTGTGTCGAGTGAGATCACCATTTCACAGCTTAAAGAAACAGAGCTCTGAGAGATTTAGGTACTTGATCAAGAACACAAAGCTAGAAGTGATGGAAACCAGTCTTTGAACCCAAATATATTTGACTTCAGTGCAACTGCCTACAACTAGCTGTGTATACCTCATAAAACAGGAAGCATCCTTCTATTTCCAATAACTTTCTTCCCTGTAGATAGAGGAACACTATCTCTAAAAATGTGGAGATGCCTGTCAGAACACTGACTCCAGCACTGAGCTCCATTTTTCTTTCTACTGAATGGCACATTTGTATTCATGTGCTTTATTCACTTGCCTTACACACCATAAACTTATTTGGGGTTCCAACCAGTTTGCTCTTGATTTGCCTCTTTCTGCCAGCACCAGGCCAGTTTCTAGTCTCCCAATTCAGCACCATCCCTAACTCCTCTCTCTCTAACCACCAAGGTAGGGTGTTTTCCTCTTTATAGTGTCTCTTAAATTGATCCATTCCACCATTTCAAACATTTTCTAACGTCTTTTGACTTAAACACTACACAAATTAACTGTCCAACAGTTGTCATGGGTCAGACATCCCAGGCTACACTTCTCATCAGAAGGTTTATTAGTAAGTATAAAATGCTGTCTAAGCAAACATAGCATGTACTTACTTCTAAAGGGATATTAGATGGAAATCAAAGGATAACTAGGCTACAATCCTCAACCCCAGCCGGGCGTTGGTGGCACACACACATTTAATCCCAGCACTCAGGAGGCAGAGGCAGGCAGATCTCTGTGAGTTCCAGGTCAGTCCGGTCTCTAAAGCAAGTGCCAGGATAGGCTGCAAAGCTACACAGAGAAACCCTGTCTCGAAAAACAAAACAAAACAAAACCCTCAACCCCAGAGAAGCTAGGTAACAAACAGGACCCTAAGAGGAACATGTGGATCTCCCTGGAAAGAGGAAGTAGATGGGATGTCCTGGGTAAAGTGAGGGTTGGGGAGTAGAGGAGGGAATTGGGGGATGGGAGCATGAGAGATCAGGATGGCTGAGCAGCAGCAGGTCAGACTGAGTGGGAGAGTGATGGGGAAGATATCTTGATAGAGGGCCATTTTGAGGTTAGTAGAAACCTGGTGCTAGGGAGGCTTCCCAACCCACAAGGATGACCCCAGCTAAGACTTCTAGCAATGGTGTAAAGGGTGCCTGAACTGCCTTTCCCTTGTAATTGGATTGGTATCTGCCTTAGTTGTCATAGAGCCTTCATCCTGTACCTGATGCAAGCAGTTGCAGAGTTCCTCACCAAGCATCAGCCTGAGCTCCAGGAGTCCAGAAGAGAAGGTGGAGAGATTGCATGAGCAAGGAGGATCAGTCAAGATCATAATAGGGAAACCCAAAGAGACAGCAGACGTGAGCTTGTGGGAGCTCATGGACTCTGGATGGACAGCCAGGGAGCTGGCATGGCACGAGATAGGCCCTCTGCATCTGGGTGACAATTGTATAGCTTGGTCTTTTGTGGGGCCCCTAGCAGTGGGACCAGGACCAATTCCTGATGCATAAGCTGGCTCTTTAAAACCTATTCCCTATGGTGGGTTGCCTCACCCAGCCTTGATGTAGTGGGGAGGAGCTTGGTCCTGCCTCAGTTTGATGTGCCATGCTTCCTTGATTCCTATGAGAAGCCTTATCCCATCTAAGGGGAAACAGAGGTGGAATAGATGGGAGGCCAGGGAGGAGGTGAGGGAGGGATCAAGGGGAGAAGAGGGTAGGGAAACTGTAGTTGGTATGTTAAAAAAATGATGAAAAAAAATGTTGTCAAAACCGTTCCATAATCCTTCACTCCAATTCTCTAAATCTCAACATTTTATGACATTTCTTTCAGTCTTTCTCTCTACCTAAACATATTGTTACATAGGCAATATATAGTCTTCTAAACCATTTGAGAGTAAGATGAAGGTCATCTTCCTTTATCCCTAGATACTTTGCATAACACATATGAAGCTATTTTTGTTCATTGCCAGAAGACTGATCAGAATCAATAAAAATATTCATATCATATTTTGTGTAATATAAATGCATCTTCCAAATTTAATTAATTAACCCCAAAATAAAAAAAATATTCAGTATAGGAGTCAAGCATAAACCAATCCTGTAGTTGAGTTTGAATGTTACTTAAGTCCTCTTTTAAAAGTGGAAGTGTTCTTAGTTTTTCTTATCTTTCATGGCCTTGACATTTTCAAAGCGTACACTATCCTCTGATTCCAGATATAATTTTCAATGTCACAGTAGACAGAAAAGCAGAAAATTGTCTGACTTCCTATCTTCAGAGTTACAGAATTTGAAAGAACCTAAATTTTGGATTATTCTACTGAATCTCAAACACCTCGAAAAATTCCCATCATATCACTGACTAAACATGATTAAATTAATTCACATTTTACACTTAATTCTAACTATGACTATCCAATGACAATTACAATTGCATAATCACCCCTAGTCTGAGTATGAGTGGACCCTAGCAAAAATATGAGGAATACATTTAATTTCATATTACAATATATGAAAAACTACCCATTTCAGAAATATAGAAATTAAGCATTTGCATCTATCTTCTGGGCAGGGATGTGAGCTTTAGTTTTAAATAAAGAAAATTTGGGACAAGGGATGAGGTAGTTCATAATCAGGCAACCTCACAAGAGTGAATTTCTAGTACCAGGCATGACTTCCTTCCTGTTGAGCAGGATTTAAGTTCAATTAGACATTTATTCTCAATATATGGGTGCAACTATTGCACTTTTAGGGATATCTTGCCATTCTGGTCATTGTTGCTCATGGGCCTCACAGCTGGGTAGGACTTATGGTTCCTTCCCTTCCTTACCAGCTTGCACAGCACCTTCTGCTTCCATAAAAAGCCAGACTTCAGGAAAGAGTCTTTCAGTTCAGATCCAGCTCAATTCTTCCAAGTCCTGTGGCCAAAATATGAGGTACCTTAAGCAATAAGGACTTACCTTCAACCTCTGGGAGGTGTCCAAGGGGAACAGCATTAGCTTAATATTATTTTGGGAGTCTCTTAGGATATACTACCTAATAACTCAGAAGGAAGTTATGTTGAGGTACACCAATAAAATTACTGGCCCATGGAAATAATGGATCATTGCTTTGAAATAAGTTTGTTTTTAGAAGGTATAATAATGGCAATGACACAAAGGATGTTTCATCAGTATCAAAATCAAACGACTTGTGTCAGGAAGGAAAATATACAGCAGGTATTGCCTACTATCAAACTTCAACCATCACCTTAGATGGCTGTTGGAATTTTAATGGTGCTCATTTTATATATAAATTCAATGTAAATTTGTCTTGTTTTATAGAAGTAAACATCATCATGAATTTATCCCGCTTTTGTATTTGTACCCAGAGGTTAAGAACATAATGAAATAATATATGAAGACTGAAAAATTAATGTCATAATTACATAATGTATGAGCCCTGAAAAAAAGTTAATGAACAATCTAGCAATATTAACAAAGACAGAAAAGACACAAATGACCAATATATGAATGAAAATATCAGTGCAGGCCCTGCAAACAGTATAAGACCAATAAGAAAGTGGTACTAACAATCCCACACTTACCAGTTTTATAATATAGCAGAGACAGACATTCCACAAAATGTAGCAACTACTATGATTCAACAAGTATGGACTAGATCATCTAATAGACCCATACCTTTTAAGGAATGGAACTTTTATTTTACATTTCCCTTCCAAGATTTCCAATGCTAGAAGTTGTTATTTGTTTGTTTGTTTTGAGATTTGGTCTTGCTACACAGCCCAGAATGGGCCTCTTGTCTAGCCCCTCCCCTCGAGTACTGGAATTACAGGTGTGTGCCACCACCCTAGTCTGCCTGGGGTTTTCCATGAAGAATTCTATCAAGAATTTTGAAGAATAATCTATGCTAATTTACTAAAACATTTTTCAAATGTGATTGGGAAAACACTTTCTACAATTCTTATGAAGCTAGTATTACACCAAAATCAAATAATGATGATACAAAGAGCATAGAAGAAAAGAAAGAAGGGTAGAAGGAAACAAATTACAAAGCAATATCCTTCCAGGTGGTGGTGTCATACACCTTTAATCCCAGCACTCAAAAGGCAGAGGCAGGCAGATCTCTGTGAGTTCTAGGCCAGCCTGGTCTATCGTGAGTTCCAGGACAGCCTCCAAAGCAATACAAAGAAACCTTGTCTCGAAACAACAACAACAACAACAAAATGAATTGTACACCATAACCAACTAAGATTTATTCCATGGACACAAAGGAAGCTAAATATGTCAAAAACAGTTTTTACAACCCACCATGTGAAAAGGTTAAATTTTTAAAAATAACTTAACAATTTGTGTAAGAAAACATTTGAAAAAATTATTCATGATAAGACAAAAAAGAAAATGCTTTCCTTTAAGGAAGGTAGGAATAGAGGGCTTCCTTGACTTAAATAAAAATTGAACTAGCAAAAAACGTATAGCCCTCGATAACAACAAGAAAATTAGTTGGCACATGGAACCTAACTGAAAATAAAGCAGTATTATGTAGCTTGACCAATTGGGATTTATTCCAGGAAATCAAAGTTGGTTTAATATGTGAAATTGTATTAACATAATATACCATTTCAGTAGAATGGAGACAAAACCATGTGGTTATCTCAATAGCCAAAAATAAAAAGCCATAAAAAAATCTGATGCCATACCAGTGCTTCACGAGAAAACATTCAATGAGCTTGGGCATAATGGGATTTCCTTGGCATTGCTGTGCTGGTTAGGTTTGGTCAACTTGATAAATATTAGAGTCATTTGAGAAGAGGGAACCTTAATTAAGAGATGATCCCATCACGCTGGAATGTTACTGTGAGTATGGAGGCATTTTCTTGATTAATGGTTGATATAGGAGGGTCAGCCAATTGTGGGAAGTGTCACCCCTGGGCAGATGGCCCTGAGTTGTATAAAACTCTAGCTGAGTGAGCCACAGATAGCTATCCAGTAAATAGCATTCCTGTGTAGTTCCTGTCTTGGCTACTTCCCTGTTTCCCTCAACTGTGATCAAGAAGGGAAGTCAAATAAACTGATCATGCAACAGAGACCTAACTGAAACAATTGTCAACAAGTCCCAATAGTCAACATAGGTTGAAATGCCCTAAGTGAAAAAATGAATTTAAATACACCTAGCCTAGCAAACATCATAGGTAGATGACACACAGAACTGCAGAAGATATGTTCCTTCTGCTGTGGCTTCATGGCTGACTGGAATCTCTGACTCACTTCAATAGTGCTGCTCAGCATCATGAGAAATTATCACACTGTGTTTTGCCAGCTCAAGGAAAGGTGAAAACTCAAAATAGAAAGTACATTTTGTGCTGAATGTTTATTACTCTTCTACAGTCATAATGCCAACTGTAAGACATAGTTAAAAGCCATTTGTACTTAATAGTCCAAGACTGAAAGCTTTGCTACCTTGGCTAATTCTGTTCAACATTGTATTGGGAATTCTATCCATGGCAATTAAACAAGACAATGAAGTATAAGTGAAGAAAAATAAAACTAAAGATTATTTCCATTTATAGTAGACAAAAGTAATAAAACCATTAGGGATAAATGTAACTGTAAGTGCCAAACATATAATCAGAATAGGGGGCCATGGGGGAGAAGGGTAGTCTTCCAAGGAAGGAGAAAGGGAATACAGTGTTATAAGGAATAAAGGAGAAATTAGAGCAGAAAGGTTAAATGGGGAGAGAGATAGGAGTGCTGGGAGGGAACATGGGGAGGGACAACTAACACTAAAGCTCTTTAGAAAAGTTATATGGAAACTTACTACTATAGCAACTTCCTAAAATATATACATATAAAAAAGAAGTTTAAATGGAGTTACCATATAATAGGGGAAACAATAATTCAACTAAATATCACAGACCATAAACTCCCCCAAATACCACAGGTTATTTCAAATACTCTACCTCCCCACAACTTGACATTAAGACCCTATTTCTGAAGGCACTGCATACTTATTGAGTTATTACTCAACTAGTAGCTTCTTGCCTACTGACTAAAATTCATAGTACTGGAGGATACTATACACACTACTGGAGGACAAAAGTAGTTATCAATCTCATCCCGCTAAGAATCCTGTGAGCTATAATAGAGACCTGACAGCAAGATATACCCACTGGTACAATAGAGGCAGAAATGCTATAGGAGTAACCAACCACTTTTAAAATTCAACTTAAGTCCCTTTCCATGAAATGGAATCCATATCTGATCTTGCTCAAAGAACCAAAAATCTCACATTAGGGTCATTAGCCCTTAAAGGAAACCCCCTTAAAGGAAACCTACTACTATTAATCTACTAAATTATCATAACATTATAAAATGACAACTAGTAACAGATTGCTGCACCCATTGCTATCTGTGATCTGCTACAAGAGATTTTTCTAATTGCAGATAGCAATTAGCACAGAGACCCAGAATCGGACAATGTACAGAATATGGGAGACTTTAGAGTACTCATCCCTAAATGAGATATCGTTATCATTCTCCATCCTCAAGGCTCAGGGGTCTAAGTGAAAAGGAGGCAGAATGATTTTTTAAGTGCCAGATGTAGTGAATGACTTCAAGGAAACAGCATTTTCCAGATACAACAGGACTGACACACATAAAAGCTTAGAGACTGTGAGAGCATGCACATGAACTGCACAAGTTCAAGCCAGACAAAATCCCAGCATGGTGAAGGGGAAGTGGACATAATGACCTAACCCTATTTGCAATAAGTGGCTTCTAGAGAGGGGGAGTCAGTTTTCTTCAATGTAGTGTCTTTATCAAACACACCCCAGAGTGGGCCTCAGGCTCAAAAGTAGTTAGCCAACACAAATTAGATTTCATGTTTTTTTTAAATGCTTTTGTGATTTATTTGGTTTGTTTTTAAGATACTGCTATAATATGATGTTAGGTGGCTAGGGAAGGGGAGGATCAAAGAGGAGTTGGTAGAAAGGAAAGAATATGACCAAAGTATATTGCATGAAAAAATTAAGAACTACCGAATCAGAACAGTTGAGATATTGTTGAGATAAATGAAAGAAGATCTAAATACACAAAAGGAATCCTATGTCCTCTCCATTCATCTGTGGATGCAATAATAATCCTACTAATGTTCTAGTTATATATTTGTAGAAATTGAAAGACACTCCTAAAATTTATGTTAGTCCAAGGAAATTGTAACTGTTAAAAGAATCTCTTGAAAAGAACAACAAAGTTAGAATGCAAATATTTCCTAATTTTGAAATGTACTTAAATTATAACACTCATGATATTCTAATATTGGTTTTAAAATTGCATGCAGAACAATAGGATTGAATTAAAATTGAACCTGCATGTTTATGGTCATTTGATCTTTGGCAAGTGTGTCAAGAGTAAAAATGGTCTTTTGCAAACATTGTCTGGGACAAGTACACATCCACATGAAATAGAATTAAATGGACACATCCACATGAAATAGAATTAAATGGAACTCACATAAAACTAATAAAAATCATATGATGTAGATATAAAATATATAATATAAAATTCTCAGAGGAAAATAGGTATGATTGTTTGTGACATTGAATTAATGAATAGTTCCTTAGAGTGACACTAAAAGCATGAGGAAGGAATGAAAATAATAGATAAATTATAGGACATTAATAAAACAAACTTGCATTACAGGAAACCATCAAGAAAATTAAAAGCCCACAGAAAGGGAGAAATATTTTCTAATTGTGCATGGAATATATTTTTTTTCTTAAAACACAGTTAAAGGAAAACGTGACCTATTAAATGCAAACAAACCAAACAAATGGATGGGCAAAATGCAAATGTATATTTAATGGTATAGGGCTCATCAACAAAACAGAAATGAAATACTGATGTACAATGCAGTGTGGATAT